ATTGAACTTAAGTATTTTATGATATTAAGTTTGTCATTTATAAATTTACATTCTAATTGTTTGTTCATAAAGACTAGTGAAATTAATAATAATTGCATGTGTAGTAGTATAAACATTAACATATTTTAACATAAAATATACAGGTCTAGCAGTGCTTAAAAACTTAAACATTATGCATGTAGTTATTTTGACAATCTGTTTCTGTTTTGTCATTTTGAAAGAAGAAAGTAAAAAAAATGGTAATACAATAATACTTGGGTCTGGCCCAGTAAAAGTGTAAAACATGTGCAATAAATGTTTCAACCAAGAGATGAGCACCGCAATAATACAATCAGGTATATAAATGCATGGGGCACAAAAATGTTGTCATGTTACTAAAATATGAAAACAGCACAGTTCCATGCAGAGTATCGGGTTTAAAAGCAGTGCGGCTCTGCATCCCTCTAGGGAGCAGTTGAGCTATGGTTCACAGTGTCTTGCAGATTCCCAGATACCTAAGGCTACACTGCCTTACCCAGGCTTGTTTCCCCCATGGCACAGTCCTAGAGCACTCCCAATTAATTGTCCCCCAACATGTTACACACATCTCTGATCACAGTAGGGTCAGTAGGAGACATTGAAGGAGTTTCAAAGGTTCAGAGTGCCCATATATCGGTCTGAAAAGCCATTACTTGCACCATTTGTCGAACATCGCTTCCAACCACTAGATAATGCAAATAATGATCAGTTGCTGCTTACTAAAATAGGAGAACCACTATGCACTAATACTGGCTCAATTCACCAGTAATTAACTCTACAAATGATCAAAGTAAGCTTTTGTCAATTAAAAAATACTAGATACAAATGTTTCACTCACAGAAATAAAATAACAATAACAGCAATATGAAATTAATATAAAGATATAGATGATCAAATGGCAGTCAAATAAATGCTAATAAAGTCCACCTAAAACTTGTGTAACCGCTTTAAAAAGTAAAAAAAAATCCAAATTATGTTTGTCTTGTTATGAAAATCTCTCCTCAATGGTGATTTCTGAAATTTGCCTTGCAAACAACGAGCTGTTAGTAGGTATCACAAAAGAGAGGTTTTCATGGGGAAACTACATTTATAATACACCCCTAAAATACATGTTATGCTAACTTTATAAATGGAAGACAGATGGGGAGGCAACAATGATAAATTGGGGGGAACCTAATGTCCATTAAGTTCCCACCTGTGGGCAGTGCGTGCTGGCTCCCAAAGCCCTTAGCTAACCCCAACTGCAATTAGAAAAAAAAACTACCTACCTCCTTCACCTTTATAATAGTGATGGAAGGCAAACCTGAACAGCAAACTAATACATGTAAATACCTGTAAGTAAAAATCATACTAACCATTGGAATTCTTTTCCATCAAAATATAAATAATTATTGTCCTGCTGAAAGTACAAAATAAAAACTGGGTCACAAAAAACACAAAGAAAAATAAACAACATGACACAACAAAAATAATTATGAGCCTCATGGCGACAGCACAGAATAAGCTTGCGGGGCATGGGAATCCCTTCTATGGGCTTTCCCATGCAATGTTAGGTTGCCCCATCATTAATATTATAGGGGTGGGATATCCCTTTATTATTACTTCATAAATTAAGCAGTTAAGATGTCTGGAGTTGATTCCAGTTGTGGCATTCACATTTGGAAGCTGTTGCTTTGAACAAATAACATGATGTCAAAGGAGCTCTCAATGCAAGTGAAACAGGCCATCCTTAGACTACAAAAATAAAATAAAAAATCAGGAACATTAGGAGTGGCCAAGTCAGGATAGCAGGAACATTAGGAATGGTCAAATTACAGAATGGTATATTCTGAGAAAAAAAAAAGATTGCACTGGTAAACTCTGCAGCACAAAAGGCCTGAATGTCCACAGAAAACAACAATGGTAGATGATTGTAAGATCCTTTCCATGTTAAAGATAAACCTCTTCAAAACATCCAGCCATCCTCCCCCTCCGACGTCCCGCGACTAACGGTCACTAACGTTCATGCGCGCGTGAATTAGACCTACCCATTGGAAAGTATTGACTTAATGCTTTCCTATGGGGAAAAGTCTGACACTGGGTGTCCTAATGCAGAGCGTGAGGACGTCCAGCGTCAGATACCAGACCAAAGGTCCGTTTCAATTCAGGAAGCCCTCTAGTGGCTGTCTTGGCGACAGGTGCAACTGTAGTGTAAGATCCACACTTGGGAAAATGTACTCTTCTCAGATTGGTATATTAAATTACAGTTAGGCCTGGAAATATTTGGACACTGACATCATTTTCATAATTTTGACTCTGTACAGCACCACAATGGAATTGAAATGAAACAACTGAGGTGCAGTTGAATTTCTGACTTGCAGCTTCAATTTCAGGGGTTGAACAAAAATATTCCATGAAACATTTAGAAATTGTGGCTGTCTTGGAGACAGCCACTGTGGGCAGACTTAGTGCTGCAATGTAAAGCTGCAGTCGTCCAGGTGCCTACAGTATCTCTTTGAGCTTGGTCTCAAAAGCACGACACCAGAAAACAGTCAGAACAGGATCTTAAATTCTAGACTGTCCTGTCGATTGGTTGGGAGGCATTTGTTTTACTGGCAACACCTGAATATTGATTTAAAATATGTTTCTTAAATGTGACTGTCTATCCAACTATCTAATTTACTCCTTTTGCTCTTTATTTTCAAACTTTCTTCCTTGATCCCTCATCCCTATCAGTCACCCAAATTATTCCAGGACCGGAAGAGCAGGCTCCAGAAACACCTGGACCTTGATCCCCCAAACACTCAATGACATACCCTAAGGCCCCAGATGCCTTAGTAGCAGATGTTAGACACTTAAGCCACCCAAGCAACATCTTAGTAAGGGTTACTATAAGCAAAAAAAATTTGGAGGGTTCCTTTAAGGAAGATTAGATTGAATTAGTTAAGTAATTTGAATTTAGTAATTAATACTTCGCCATTAGTTAATTATACATTTACTCCTGATATTAATGCTAATAAAGGTCTGAATGATTTCTAAAGCTAAAATTATGTACTTTATCTATATTGTTGCTTACTAAAATGTAACTTCCTTTTCATTCTGATTCTTGCAAGCTAGTCTATTTGTCACTTAGTTCTGTCTGTCTTTCCCTGTCAGTGTGATGTAAAGTACTTCCAGGGTATTTTGACAGGTACATCATTCAAACAAGAATGTCCAACAAAAGTCTGGTCAGGTCATTTTTTAGGCTACTGATTTCCTTTCGTTTAAACAGCATTCCATGAATGGTTCACAATATGACTACATTTGAATGCCATTCAGTTAAAATAATTTACAACACAGTCAGGGATGAAAAATATTACAGTCAGGTCAACCTGTCTAATCTATCATAAACCAGTAGATAGTTTTGTATTACATTTTCTCTGCAGTGGTAATATATTTTCTTTCAGTATCTTTTGGGAAAAAAAGTACACACATTGCAGCTTTAAAATGAACCAGACTGCAAATGCACGTCTTTCTTAATATTCTGTACAGGTTGGTAGTCACACATATGTATGTATGTCAGATTAATGTTTTTGATGAACCTAGCCTTGTTTACCAACAGTGATATGCTGAGAAAATAAGAAATGCGGTATGCAATATTTTACAATAGTCAGATGCTTTGAGTGCTAGTTAGCTTATATATATGCCCCAGCTTAATGTTTGATCCAAAATGCAGAAGAATTTGTTTGCATAAAATTTAATAAAGCAAAAATATATAGGTTAATTTGGCTCTATCAAAAAAGGATTGCATGCATAAAGTTAAAGATTAATTTTATTTGTTTTTGGTTTATCTAAATATGTCAAATATGATCATAAACTGTTTTTTCAACTAAAATTTAAAAAAGTAACAATAATAAAACATCCCTAACCAAAAACAAATAAAATTATTCTTAAAATGTATGCATGCAATCCTTAGTTGATTAGAGCCAAAACCTATATATTTTTGCTTTATTCAAATTTACGCAAAATACATATTCATACCTTTTTATTTTCTGTTTTATGCACCAATTGTAAAGTAACAAATTAAAAAAAAAAAGAAAACACACTGACAGAAAAAAAACCCAGAGGATCTGTTGTTTTATAATTAGTAGTTTGTTCTCATTAAAATGTACAGTAAAAGTAAATGCAAATCTACTATAAGGATATTTGAAGATATTGAAACAAATTTTAAAAAGGTAATATATGACACAAGATACATTATTTTATATGATATAAAAAATTTCAGATGTCAAGCTCACTTTACATTAATTGCAATTAAAGTGCAATATTATGTAAAAGCTTAAGTTCAAAATGAAAAAAATGTGTGCATTATTTTGTATCATGCATCATCCAAGTACAATCAGAGCAATTCACAGAAAAGTTATGGTGGGAGTAGACAACTTAAAAGTCGATAGGCATGGTATTTAGAAACAAAGAAACAGAAAAATGACTCTCAGCTAAGAGAAACCATAAAGACGCTTAAAGGGAAATCTCCAAATTGTATTTAGAAAATAAAGAAGATCCCTTGAAAAGAGGACCAAACAGAGAAACCATAAATTTAAATAACTTATGCAAACTTTCTAGTTTTACTAAATGTTTTTCCATTTGTTATTATGTAAAGAGCATTATAATATAAATACCGTACTGATTAAAAATTGGTAAGTATTATTTTACAGTTTTGCCCTGTATAAAATGTGGACATGTGGGGGAGGGGGGCTGACTATTAAGCAGACAAGACGTGCTTTCCAGGAGCTGCTACCTGAGCCAGCTTTAATTCAGCTAAAACGTCATGATATCACGAGCAAAAGGCTCAGAACCAAGCACCAGCAGACATCCTGACTAAAGGGGACAACGAAGGTCCCGGAATTCCAAGAATTCTCATTACTGCTCATTTTTTCAGCCATTTGGCCCTGCAGCCTACTTGGATTGCTGGCCCGACGACTGGGAGAGGCAGCCTATATCCCGCTCTGGACCGTGCATTGGCAATGGCCACCATGTTGAGACGTCCATGGCAACCAATGGACCCGGAGGCTCTGGACTGGGTACAGCGTTTGAAAGCCAGATTTGTCAAGCTGTGTCTGGATTTCTGGTCCCGTCTGGCCTGCAGCTCCCACACTTCTGCCTTTCCTGCCCGGATCAACCAACACATGGAGAGATCTTGTGCTGCAGCATCGCTACCTGTCTCTCCCACTGCGAGGCAAAGCCAGGCTGAGATCCGCTGGGCGAAGACCCAGCTCAGCACCAGGAAGGCACCTTGATCACAACGCCTGCGTAAGTGGCCCAGTCTTGCTGGGAGTTCTCACCACAACTCATCCTGGGACATTCACAGACACACCACTTGCACCCTTGGCCCTTACCCTTCATGTTACTAAGCCTGACTGTAGATCACAAAACCAACCCCTGATTGCAGCTCAACTAGAGACTTGTGAGATGGAAGTGGGAGCGTGCAGCCTGGCCTGGGGTTGGGGGGATGCAGTTCAGTGGGATACATGTGACATATTTCCTTTGGTCATTGTACACTGTATGTCAGGCATAGGCTTAGATAGTAACTACCATAATGCAGCTTGCTAACCGTCGCCGGCTGACAAATCCTGCGCTGTCTCTTTTCATGCCCAGTGGCTTATAATAATATGCAATATGTCATTTTTTTTTTCTTTTTATTTTTTTTAACATCATAATATGGTATTTGTTATTTCAAACTTTGTGTGATTGAAATTGATTTTATCAAATACCAAATCATCATATGTATTATTTTCCTCTCTTTTTCTCTTGTATATATAAATATATAACTTCTTGTTTTATCTTTTTTTAATTATCTTGTATTACATAAATTTTTATTTAGTGGCAAAATACACATACAGACTAACTTGGACAAACATTTGCTTGGTGTGCAATATACCGGAAAAAAAAAAAATACTAAAACCAAAATGAGGCTCGAGAGGGGGTGGCGGGGTCCCGGTAATCTCCCAGTTGTAAATGTACTATTTGGCTAGAAAATAAATTATTTAATAAAAAGAGAAAGAAACTCATTGTGCAGGGTCTAGTTTTTTTATCCATCTATCCCAATAGATATAGTGGTATTGTTTCTTTGTAGCAAAGTTAGTAATAGCCCCTTCCATTTTACATTGCATGATAATTTGAGAATGAATCTTAGACCAGTTATCTACCTTTGAAGACTTCCAGTTTCTGGCTATTGATATTTTGACAGCCATTAAGATGTTGAAAATAATTGGTCTAAGTTTCCTATCAATCATCTCCATGTCCATATGTAATAGAGCCATACTTGGAATCAGTTTAAACTTCGTTTCCAATAGGGATGATAAATATTGGTTTAATTTCTCCCAGAGGGGTCTAATTATCGGGCATTCCCACCAGATTTGTTTAAAATCTGCAGTTGGTTCATTGCATCTCCAACAGTTAGATGGAGCTGTAGGATACATTTTTGCTATTTTTTGAGGCGTTCTATTCCATCTAATTAGTAGTTTATAGTGAGTTCCATGTATATTTAAGCAGTGGCAGGCTTTTTATAATGTATTAAGGGAATTATTCCATTCTTTCATAGTTATGTCCTTTTCCAAATCATTATTCCATTTATTAATTGCCGAAGGAATTGGTTTAATCTGGGTCTTGTAAATTCATTTTTGGCATTTATTGGCCAGATGAGTGTAGTCTGTTTGCTCATATAATTCAGAGAGAAATTTAACTGGTGATTCGAGAGTGTTAAATCTTAAAAATGTATTTAAGAAAAATGTTACCCTTGTATAGTTAAACCATTCAGGAGAAGGTATACCGTATTCAGTTTGGAGTTGTTTAAAAGATTTTAATATATTTCCTATCAGGAGATTAGATATCTTTTTTATACCCCTAATGGTCCATATTTCTATATTTATTTCCGTAATTAGATCTGATAGTATATTTATATTTATATCGGGAATTATCTTCATTTTCAGACCAATTTTTTTTTAAGTTGAGACCAGATTGGGAAGATTTATTGAACTATGAGCGATTTAGAATTTTTAATGTTTAATGTTTAATGTTTCTTTATCTATGGGCCATAAAGGGGCTTTGTAGTCCCTATTTCACAAAGTCAGGATCTGTTCCCTTTTATATCAATTTTCATTTATAGAATCTTCCTTATTTATCGTTAAAACATGTGCTATCAAATTGGCTTGTGCAATATCTTGGATAATTGGAATACTAATGCCTCCTTCATTTTTTTTCCTAGACATATCTTTTTTTATCCTGGGTTTTTTACCTGACCAAATAAATTTAGTAAATGATGATTGGATTAAGTCTAACCAACTATCAGGGATCTTTATGGGGATCATTCTCATAATATACAAGAATTTTAGAACAATATATGCTTTTAATGCAATTATTTTCCCTGATCAGGAAATTTCCAAAGTTTTCCATTTTTTAAAACTAGCATTTGTTTCTTTAATTAATGGTAAAATATTGATTCCTATCCATTTCTTTGGGTTTTTGAGATTTATATACCAAAATAGTTAAAATGGTTTATAACCTGTTTAAATCCATATTTAGTTTCTATAGTATCAATATTATTTTGATATGTATTTAGATATAGTGCCATGGATTTTTCATTATTTATCTTATAATTAGAAAAATTGCTGTAATTTTTAATGATTTCTACTACATGGTTGATGGAATCCTCGGGATTCTGAACACTTATCAGTACATCATCGGCATATAGCTTAATTTTTTTGGTTATTGTTTACTACAGAGATTGGGACATTTAATTCCTTCAAATGAGATTCTGAGATCTTTGCTATCATCTTATCTTTAAAAAAATATTTTGGGTCTGCTTGATTATGGGGTAGATTATATAGTAAATGATAATAATCATTGAAATATTTTCCAATTCTCTCTGGAGATTAGCAGGCCTCGCCCTTATATATAGTTTTGGAGATTTTTTTGTTTCATTTCTTTTTTGAGTCTATTGGTTAATAATGTTTTTGCCCTATAACCTCTATAATAAAAAGTTGCTTTTAATCTTTCAAGTGTTTTACTTACTTTCAATATTAGTCAATCATTGATCCTATCTTGTAGAGCAGAAATTTTATTAGACAAGTGCCTGGTAGGGGCTATTTTGTTATCTCTTGAGAGATTATATTATTGAATTTACAGATTAGTTAAATCTCTTTCTCTGTAATCTCTATTTTCAGAAGGTAGTTTAATTAGTAATCCCCTTATTACCACTTTATATGAGCACCATATTCCAGAAGGGGGGATCTGCTCAGATTACTTCTCTTTAAGATAATAATCAGTCTGTTTCTTGATAAATTCTATATTGTCTTTGTTTGACAAAATATAGTTATTTAATCTCCATTCTGGTCTTGGGATTTCGAAGGTGTCCTTAACATCTAAAATAACTGCATTGTGATCTGACCATGTAATCTCATTTATTGTAATTGTTTTTGTTTGTTGCGCTAAGTCTGTCTGGTAAAAAAAGCGCCAATGCCTTGTTTTTTTTTTTTTTTTGTTCAAGAGATGCAGATAGGATCGTCGTGTAGATTTTAGAACTTAAATTAATATTATCCTTCTTCCTCAAATGCGTTTCCTGCAGACCATAAACATCAATTTTCTGTTTCCTCAAATATTCTAATAAAATTGATCTTTTAAATGGGGAATTAAGTCCCTGGGTATTTATTGTAGCAAATCTTACCATAGTGCCTAACTAGTTTCTTCTTCTGATCACTGGAACCCACACCTCGAACAACAAATTTCCAGTTCTACTGCAAAGCAAACAACAAAAACACATATAAAACATTAAAAAAGTTAATATTGGGGTATCAAAATATTGGGGCATCAAAATAATTGCCATTAACAAATGGCAACCCGAGCGGAGGTCTGCTTGAGGGGCAAAGTTTTTGTATCCTTCCTACATTAATGATTCCTCCATCCTATTCCCCTTCTCATCCTCACCAGTTGCCAACAACTTACCTCTTTTCCTCTCCCCTCCTCCCCTCACTAACTACCTGTGAAATTAATAATTAATATTCACCTTTCATTCTTCGCTAAATCAGATCTTTCCTGTCTAGTCAGTCTATCCTCACACTCTCCCCTCCCTTCCCCCGTTCTTATCTCTAGTCGTATCTTATTATATCTGAGTGAAGAAGGAAAAGATAGCTGTTGTCATAGGGCCTCAGTTATTTCTTTATGTAAAAAATATGTATGTAGGGATTATATTATATTATTGTCTTAATATGTACAGCAACTCTTAGATTATATGATTTGTAATATCGTGTTATTCCATATTTTAATTCCTTTAAATATCATGGTTAAGTGAAAGTGAGACCCATCTTATAAATTTGTTCCTTGTTTACAATTACATTACGATAATATGTGAAGCAATTCTTTATATTGTATACTTTGTAAAATCGTGTTATTCCATATTATATTTCCTAAAATATCATAATTAAGTGGGAGTGCAGCCCATCGTGTAATTTTCTTCTCCATTTACATTTCATATCTCTTTCTCTTTCCCTTCTCTTTACTTGTTTAAAAAAAAGTGTAAAGTGCAAAAAAGAAAAAAAAAGATATATATTTTTCTATAGTATAATTTATCCATCCTATGTAGCAAGGGAGAGGAGAATTATAGAATATAAAGATTTTATTTTTTTTCTTCATCGTCAAACAAAAAAAAATATTTTCTCTATCCTTTAGACCAGGTGGACAGTTTTTCTGACGAGTCACATATCACTGTAGTGTATTCACAGGTAGTGATGTACCGAACGGTTCGCCGGCGTACGGTTCCTGGCGAACATAGCATGTTCGCGTTCGCCACGGCGTGCGAACATATGCGCGGTTCGACCCGCCCCCTATTCGTCATCATTGAGTAAACTTTGACCCTGTACCTCACAGTCAGCAGACACATTCCAGCCAATTAGCAGCACAGCCTCCCTAGCAGACCCTCCCACCTACTGGACAGCATCCATTTTAGATTCATTCTCAAGCTGCATGCTTAGTAAGAGGAGGGAAAGTGTAGCTGCTGTTCATAAGATAGGGAAAAGCATAGCTAGGTTAGGGATAAGGGTATGCTTTTTTTGGATTTTTTTTTTCTATCTAATGTAAATGCACTTAGTTGTCTGCCACTGCTGCCAGCTTCTGTGTCAGGCTCACACAGTGCCCATTTCCCCAGTCAGTGCCACCAATTACATCTGGTGTCACAATAGCTTGGATTTAAAAACAAAAAACTTTTTTCACTGTTATAGATTGAATAGCAGTCAGTTGTCTGCCA